CGGGGTCATTCCAGGCGTTCTCAGCTGTCCCCGTGGATTAACGGGAACGGGGTGGGGGAGGGGAGGGGTTCCAGGGGCTTTTGGGATTGTTTTGGGGCAATGAAGGATTTGGGGAACAGAGTTAAAGGGAATTTCAGGGAATTTCGGGGTCCGGCCCTTACTCAGCAGAGTTTGGGGGAATTTCGGGGGATTCCGAGGAGCTTTGGGACAAATTTGGGGGATTCTAAGGAACTTGATGAGATTTTAGAGGAACTTACGAGTGTTTTGAGGGGAATTTAGGGTGTTCTGGGGGATTTAGGGGTGTTTTGGGGTGTTTTTGGGGTGTTTTTAGGGTGTTTTTGGGGTGTTTTCGGGGTGTTTTTGGGGTCCGTGTCTCACCCATGGTGCCGGGGCTGGGCCGGGTTTGGCAGAGCCGGATCAGGCAGGAGCGGCCTGGGGGGGTCAGGGGGGGTTTGGGGGGAGGGGCTGAGGCTGCCCCACATCCCCCTGACCCCACAGACCCCACAAATCCCCCCTGACCCCACAGACCCCACAGACCCCTCCTGACCCCACAGATCCCCCCGACCCCACAGACCCCACAAATCCTCCTGTCCTGACCCCACAGACCACACAGCCCCCTCTCCCCTCAGACCCCACAAACCCCACAGACCCCACAGACCCTCCCTGACCCCACAGATAATCACAAATAATCCCAAATAATCACAAACTCCCCCATTTCCCCCTCACCTCCTCTCACCCCGCAGACCCCACAGACCCTCCCTCACCCCTCACACCCCACAGATAATAACAGAAAATAACAGATAATCCCAGATAATCCCAATCTCCCCCTCACCTCCCCTCCCCTCACCCCACAGACCCCTCACCCTCAGACCCCACAGATAACCCCACATAATCCCAATTTCCCCCTCCCCTCACCCCGCAGACCCCACAGACCCTCCCTCACCCTCACACCCCACAGATAATCCCAGATAACCCCAAATAATCCCAATTTCCCCCATTTCCCCCTCGCCTCCTCTCACCCCACAGACCCCTCACACTCCACAGATCCCTCACACCCCACAGATAATCCCAAATAACCCCAAATAATCCCAATTTCCCCCATTTCCCCCTCAAGTTCCCTCGCCCCTCAGATCCCACAGACCCTCCCTCACCCCTCTCACCCCACAGACCCCACAAATAATCCCAAATAATCCCCATTTCCCCCA